AAGATTGCCATGTAAACAGCTGAAGATATATACATATAAGATGCTGTGCTTGCCCTCATAAGAACACTATTTAAAAAAATTTTTGGCTTAGAATTATCGTCAAAAGTTTCATAGGCTATGTTAAATTTAACCTGAATCTTTTAGTGTAAATAGGATGTAATGATGGAAGCAGAAGAGAATCTTGAGTAGTGGGCAGCATTGAAAGCTGGGAGCAACATGATACAATTAGGGCTAGAGTGCATATAGGAGAGCACTAAAAACAGCGAGATGCTTAGAGGAAGGAGCCAGGGAATGACACTGCATCTTGTGCCATTTAAGGAGCAGGCATTTTTCCTACAGTTGCCAGAAAGTCCCTGAAGTTTAAAGCCGTCCAAATATAATCAAATTTACATTTAAAGAAAAAGAGAGAGACAAACTGTGATTGTGTGAATGGAAACTTTAGCAAGTACAGCACCTGAAGGTAGGAATAAAGAGGAGGAAGACAGATATAATGACATTTTAAAAGATAGCATAAGAGGTAATCTTGGATAATAAACACAAAGAAAGCACAAGGAAGGACAGATGAGTTTGGTGGCAATGTTTCAGCCTGTTTGAAACTTATTTTTCATTTTATTTATTTTTTTGTGGGCCTCTTATTTGTGTGGGGATGGACATAAGAGTGGTTTACCTACTGAAGTGAGAGTACTTATAAACAGACGTTCAGATGAGGCTGATCCTAGGCATGTACACAGAAATCTGGAACTCAGGTCGTAGATTTAGGCCATAAGCATTGATTTTGGACTCATTAAGGAGGAAAAAAGGTAGGATATGTGGAGTAATGTTTGCTTTAAAATAGTGTATCAGAATTACTTGTTAAATAAAAGATTAAAAACACTAGTAAAGGGAATTTGACCACATGACTAATAGGAGGTTTCTTGTAAGAAATCTTCTCAAGAAAGAAGAATCATTCAATATTTTGAAATGTTATAGAAGGAGCAAGAGGGAAGGCATGGTCCAGAAGTATCCATTGGCAAATAGGAGATAATATCTTGGTTACCTTCCTGAAACTGAATGAGTGGTAAGCCAAGTTATATTAGGTTAAGGTGGAAAGTGAATGGTAAGGGAGTAAATAGAGTGAATATAGATTGTTTTTGGTAAATATTGATGGTAAAAGAAAAGCATAAACTATAGGTGTGATGAGAATACTATGCAGAATTAAGGAAGAAGGCAGAAGGCAAACACATTATTTTGTAGCTGTATGGAAGGTTGGGAAGTTACTATGCCATCTTAGCCAATATGGCTTTGCACAAACACTTGAGTAGATTAGCATCTAAGGTTGACATAGCAGTTTAGGGAAAGCCAAGTACATTTGTGAATCGAGTAACCTGTAAGAGATTAGAGATGTAGAAAGATACAGGGAGTAAGTGGAGGGACATGAATTAGTGTTTTGAAGAAAGGAGGGAAGAAAATTACAGGAAGACCAAGAAATGGATATGTTTTGTCAGTTATTTGAAGGCAGGTGAAGAGAATATTATAAAGGCATTAAACCAGATTTAAGGTAAAAATATCAAGCTAGAACGTTTAGGAACTGAACAATAAATATAGAAAACAGATTTTAAAAGAAAATTCATCAAAAAGAGCTGTGGGAAGTTAATAAGTTACTTTGAAAGTATGCTTTCAAAAGTGATACATAAATTAGTGTGTTTGGCTTTATGAAAGATAATACTTAGCACATGGTAGGTGTTTATTAATTTCATATGTGACCGCTTGAAGCAGTAGGTCTTCCAAAAAATACAGACAGCTTTTATTCTGTTTAGTGATATCAATACTGGATGCTGAATAACAGTAAAAGTAACTCAAAATGTTATTTTGCCTCTTTTAACCTAAACTGTTGATTTTTCTATTGTAACTATCTCAACCATGTTCTTGGGCACAGAACGGTGTGTTTGTGAATCAAGATTCTGTCATAACCTTTATTTTGTGGTAATAGGATAAAAATTATAGCAGTTGAATATCTTAAAAATAAATAAAAACTATGCCTCAAAGTTTTTTTTCTGTATAACGCAAGACATTTGAAACTAAAATTATTCATGAGAAAAACAGATACTTTATTCTGTTCTCAAAGTTAGTGAATTTAATTAAGTAAAATAACTCCATTAGGATAAACAAATGGGTAGCTCTTTTTTTCTTTTCTTTCTTTCTTTCTTTTTTTTTTTTTTTTTTTTTTTTT